AGGCAACAAAACTGCATGTAAATGAATTCCTGTAAATAAACTAGGATGATATTTTATTTCAAAAGAATGTAATAAGCCACTTAAAACTTTTACATATCGTTGTTCTCTGTGGTTTCAGATTGTGTGTTGTTTATACAAGAGTCAAAGACAACTCAATAAAGAACTGAAAAGAAAACAACTCCAGGTAACAAGCAAAACATTCCCTGAATAGCGAAGTGCAGGAACTGCCAGCTATCCAAGAAATATTGCTACTGGACTAAAGTCCACTCAATGTACCTTAAAGCAAACCTGGGCTTGGCCAATGCTATATATTATATAACTACCCCTTCCACCACAGCAGCATATACTACCCTTTACTTCACTCCTCCGCTGATCCATTCAGCTGCCTAGAACAAAAAAATACCTGGTACTTCTTGGTATGGAAAAACATGCGACTCACTCCATGTGACAGTCCAGGGCCGATCACCAATACCTTCACAGCCAAATGGGGAGTGACCACAGTTGAGTGGAAGCTATGACTTGAGTGCCTCATAGTTTACCCATTGTGCTTATTCTGCTCCTGGCAAACCACAGGTTCACTTTAAGCAAATAAGTTAGTCTTTTTACATACTGAAAGTCCTGCCCTAAAGAAGGTACAACAGGGTGCCTGTTAAAAGATTTATTACCCTGAAAACTCTGTGTACTTCTCTAATTCAGTTTCATTCTGCGATTAGAGACTTCACTACCATGACCAAGTCCCGTTACATGCCATATTCAGTGAAGTACTTCGGTAGCCATTAAGGGCACTCTTATTCAACATGATGTAGGTAGGTGGGTAGGGCTTAATACAGATATTTAGGATGTCAAGTCTCTAGCAACAAAAAAAACTAATTCAGATAGGTGATGATAGGAGGGGTTTTCTGGGTAATAAAGTTATTATCTGCTTCTTAGCAATTAAACAGGTTTACCTTACTTTCAACTGAATACAATTTTTTGCAGCTATTCTTGGCAGGGTCTACATCATGCCTCCATATACCAGTCATTCTGTTCTGTGTATTTCCCTTTTAATTTTTGGCTCAAACAGATCAGAAGTGCAAACCATTTCCTTCTGGAAGGTCACGGGTACACGTGCATAGTATGGTAGGATCCTGGGAAGCATTGACTGACAAATCACCCCAATTTTTTCCAGATAGGTTGGGTATTGATCTTGGGATTTCCAGGCCCTCAAACTCAGACCCTGGGCTATGAGGTGCCAGCACAGGAAATGCAAAGAGACTGGGTTCCAAGTATTAATATAGATATGCAGGGTGGATCAATCTTATGTGCACATTTAAAACCAGGATGTAAGTACAGTCCCCATTCTGTGATCCCTGTGCATTTCTAAATGTCAGAGCTTCACTAAATTGTACCTTTAAATTCATTACAATAAAAACTAAATATTATAACAAGCACACACTTAAGACTACACTCTCTCAATAATAATGTATTATCTACCTGAAATCACTGTAGTATCAAGCTGTCACCTTTACTGCCAATTGTTTTAAACAGTTATATGGCATTGTATAAACAAAGGAGGATAATTATATAATTAGGTTGAATGTCATGTTCTACCTTCTTTACCGAGCTGTATATTTCTCACACCACAGGCAATAAACTCCCCTGCCAACTTTAACACCCTTCACAATTCTCTCTCTTCACAGTGGAGACAATAAGTAACTACTTCATATTTAAAATAATACCCATAATTCATAGGACTAAGAAGACCATTGCATCAGAATTTTTAAAAGTTAACCTTGCAACCTGGTCATCTCTATAGGCTCCTTTACCCCTGACTTAATATTTTGGTCCAGGTTTGTTGCCTTTTTTTATGTGGGTGTAGATGACTTTCAGAGGAAATTGTCCATTAACCTTATGAGATGCTTGAAGCCAGCAAGTTCACTGGGCCCTCATAAAATCACCTCCTCTCTCTAGAGAAACCCGATTGGTTGGAATGGGTAACTGCCCTCAGCATGTCACCATGGTTTTACTGCCTTTCTGAATAAGCCCAATAAAGTCTACATCGGACATGAGGTTCTCCAGCATCCAAACAATGTTTTTAAGGGATATGCAGGAACACAATTACCTTTTACTATGGAAAACATTTTCTGTTGGAAAAAGGAGCACTTTTTGCATTGCACTTTTCCTCATCTAACACTACAAAATCAATAGTCACTGTGGTAATTGAGGCCCAGTGATTACTGTGAGGTTACACACATCGTAGCTATCTACCAGAGAAATTGTGTTTGAGTGCTGTGGGTTATTAAACTTTGCACATGTACACAACTTATTATACTGTCATGATACGTCCACTGGTGCTAATAAACATTTATAGTCACAGCATATCAGCCTGGAGCTCTCTAAATATAAGGTAATCAATTTTTTTATGCGTTAAAAACAGGAACCACATAATTGTCTACTCAGATTTCTAAATCATCAGACTTATTCAGTGGAGTAGGTTAACAATGACATTTTAGAAAGTGCAGTACGCCATAACATATTTGTGGTTTTATCAGCAAACATGTTCATTTAAAGTGTATGTAAACCCTAACAATGAACTTCTCCTATTTGATCCCTTTTGGCCTGGTGTATATACACCTTTGAAAGTGTTTCATTGCATCTGTTTGATAGGTGCATGAAATACCCGTTACTCCTGCCAGAAATCCACTGAGCTAATAGCATACTGGACTCTCTGCTTCTGATGACTGTTATCAGTTATCATTTTACTACCGAACATCCCCTCATGCTATAAAGGAGAGGGAGAGGTGTTCTGTAGTCATGTCGTAAGGTGTCATTACTGCTCCTCAATAGATACAATACAGTGTGTGAGTATTGTCACCCTAGATCATGAAGTGTGTTACTGGCAGGACCACCTAGTAAAAATAAAGGGAAAATGCCTGAAAAAACTAATGGAGCCACCATATCTATCTGTACACTGATAACCTAAAATATATAACATTAACATTAGATATTCTTAACAGACGTATACGGTATATGTACTGCCAGCATGGGCTTTAAAAGCAAAACCTCTTTTGACGTATTAAATAATGGCCAATCAGCCTAATTTTTCTCTAAAAATGCCATCAATAATATTTTCAAGCAGCTGTCCTTTCAATTCTACTTCTAGAAAGTGCAAGCATGGATCACGTTAGAAGAAGAATGTGATATGGTGTAATACTATGCTGGTTATTTCTATCGCTATTTCCACACTGACATTTTTTGGACATGTAGCAGCATATCACAGTACATTTGAATAAGAAAACTAGTATTTTATTCTCCTTAACGTTCCAGTAATATAATACAACAGAAAAATGTTAGTGTTTATTAACTGATAATCTTGATAAAGAATATCCAGTTGTGATGTTTGAAAGATATACTGTATGTTCATGGATGCATTTTCCGAACCCATTAAGTAAACAGGGGCACAATTGCTTTGTAATGGAATGTATAATTGATTTTCCAGTAAAACTGTTTCCACAGTGGGGGCTTTTCCATTTCAGTTATTCCATCTTACTGCATTTGCAAACAAGACCCAGATACGTCTCTCTTTGACTCTACATGTGACTTAAGTACCGCTAAGCAGCAATAATTTTCCAGGACAAAAAAGCAATTTGTACACAGAAATATAAAAAGCTACAATAAGCCATTATGTATATTCAGTGACCTAACATGTAAATATTAGATCATCAATATAATGAAAATAAGTGAACCTGATGAACTCCAGATTAATCTGAATTTACCCTCTATAGAGGTTAGAACATTTATCTTAAGTTTTCATTTTATGCATGTCTTTTACAGGGACATTTCACATGCTGAACTCCTGGCAAAAAAACAGCATTTAATCCAGTAATGTAAAAAAAAAAAAGAAGTTATTGACATCTATTTTCACATAGAACTAAGGCAAGAACATTAACCTTTTGGTTAATATCAGCCTCCACATCCCAATGCACATAGGCACTCAAACTGGGAAAGGCAGGGGGAAACCACTAAGCCAGTCAAGTTCTTTTTTTGCACAGAGGTGCCTATAAACTTGGTTACATGAAGGACGAGCAGAGGGATAACTTAATCTGTGTGTTGCTGCTCAATCATTGTGCAATCAATCTGGGCTGATTCTAGGACAAGGCTGTACTGCTTAACTGCAGTGTAGTCTTCAGAAATGTCTAGGACCTGGCTGTGGTGTCTGCCATAGGTACCTAGATTACAAAATGGTCTGGATATAGTATGTATATAGTATGTATGTGTAACTGCCCAGAGTTTAGCTTTAAAGCAGCTGTGTAATCATGCTTCAGATCCCTCCACAGTACCTTCAGAGGCAACAGTGTGATCATTATCTCCCTTTTACCAGCACTCCGGAGAATCAAGTCCTTAAAATTAAATATTAAAATATAACTGTACTCCGATTCAATCCCTAAGGGGTATATAAAATAGAGACCCCCACCATGTTGCTGCAGAGACAGTCAAAACGCTACTGTAAGTCATACTGCAGCACAGATGGCTAGAAAATGATACAACAAGCCTTGCATCGGTAGCTAAGATGGAAGCATGATTGGAAGATTTTTGCTATTGATTTACATGTGAATATCCACAAACCTCAAATAAAAGACATTGGTTCTGGGGTGACCAGGCTACTCAGTTCAAGCACCAGATAATTCCCAGTTGGCTTACATACACAAGAAGCCAAAGTTCATTGTGTGGTCACAAATAATTTGTATCTGCTGAACTGCAATTAAATACCACCAAACTACATGCATACATTTTGCAAGCAGCAAGAAGATTTTTTGCAGCCCAGCAATGCAAGCACTGAAAGCATATATTAGTAAGGGTTCAATGTCAGGCGAGAAAAATACATGCTGTGTGGCTCAGCTGTACTTTACTCTCTATAATGCCAGCTATGGTATAATCATGCACACCTAACTGTGAGTGATCATATTGTATAATTTAGGTATAGACCACTGTAGTATGAGGAGGTTAGAGTTATTACAGTTCATTCAATGCACATTCCAAGATTTAGCAGCTTTTCACAATTCATTTGCATTATTTACCATAGATTTCTTCACTCCAGTTGAAAATCCCACCACATGGCTCATTTTAAACACAGTAAAATCACTACTACATGCAATATTATCCTGATACGAGAGTTTATGTCCTGGTTTTCATTTACAAAGATGCCTTAGTTATTCATGTTAACTGTACAGTGACATGCACGATTTGTGGTACTGTGTGAACTTGGCATATATGTATGTATTTGGTCATCCTAATTAATGAACAGTTAAAAACATGCCAATGAAGAAATATAAATATGCAACTCTAGACTGCTAATGGACTGACTTGCTTTCAGCCAAATACAGAACAAATGGATATAAGACCCCCTTAGCCTCTTCTGGGGAATGGGAGAGCTCTGGCTCACAGTTCCACATCTCTCCCCCACTTCCCTCTGGTGGCAATGGTAATTTTATAGTGATAGCACGATTTATACAGAAGATGTTACTTCCGATCACTGTGCATCGGAATGGTAAACTGGGTGTTGGTGGTCCTGGACCAGGACGTAAGTTGACCCCTTCACTCCAGTGCCTGGCCATTGAATTGTAGGTGAACACGCTAAGACCATGTTCCCGACTGACATCAAAACGGTAGATGCAGCCTTTATGGGACACCATACCAGCAGAGCGCCGCCGGCTATTGTTATAAGGACACTCTTGCCATTCATTCCTCTTGGGATCATACTTTAGAAGACGGTAGAAAAGAGTCCCACCGGATACATAAATTTCACCATTACAAGTTGTAGCTTCATGAGCCACAGCAAATGCACCCTTAGGTAACGGTGCAACTGGGCTCCAACGGTCCAGTCTAGGATCATACTTTTCCACTGTAAAGAGGCACTCACCCCCAATAGCATACAGATAGCCATCAAGGGCCAAAAGTTTTAGCTGGGAACGGGGCTGTGTGAGTGGTCGGATCTTTTCCCAAGAATCAGTTAATGGGTTATAGCAAAAGACCTGGTCAGAAAGTTTTGCCTTTTGGCCACTACCTTTAATGCCCCCGGCAAGGAATAGATAGTTATAAAGAACACATATCCCACAGCCTTTAGTGTTTACCTCTTCTGGTAGCTTAGTAAGAGATCTCCAACGCCCTGTGCTTTCATTGTAGCACTGTACCTGATACGTAGTTGCATCATCCTCTAGTGAAACAACTGATGAAGGACTCTGTGGCCTGCTGCTTTCTCGGCTTGGGGGTCTACTACTACTGCTCAATCGCTCAAAGGCATCATTGATTTCTGCTACTACCAAATACTGCTTTCCATCCATTCTGCGCTGCAGAATCAGGTCTCTCTCTGCTCCTGTCAGTCGGCCATAGACTGCTGGATCTCTCAGAACCTGAAGGAAGTTGTCACTCATGAATTTGTAGGCTGCCTCTTTGAGCTCATTTAGTCTCTGCTTTTTAGCAATATAAAGTACTTGATAGCAATTCTTGAGCGTTATTTGGGCTCTCATGCTATCCATGGCACACTGCACAGCACAAGGGATCTGTAGGAACTTTGCTCCACTGATAACTTCCACTACATTATCTTGCTTCACCTCAAGCTTCATGCTATATATATAATCCACAAGCAACTGTAAAGTCTTGTAACTTACACCCTTAATCTTAAGAATGTCTCTCGAAGATCGAGCTCTGAAATAGTCACTTTTCTCAGCTAAAACGGATTTATGAGCTCTGATCCTTTGTCCCCCAGTCACTTCAATCACCAGGTCTGGCTCTCCCAGGGGCTCAAAGGATGATGGTATATTCCTCTCTTGATTACAGCTAGACTTATCTAGGTCATGGTTACCAAAGTCTTTCTTGTTTCTGTTTTCCCACTGTTGTCTTTGCAGTTGTTCCTGCAGATTATCACTGATTGACACAGACTCAGATATACTTCTTTCCTCAATATCTTCTTCAAATTCATTGTTCATATCCCATTGGCTTCCACTTAACACTATGCTACCTTCACTGAGTGGTTCAGAAACTGATATGTCCTCAGTATCATTGTAAGATATTTGTTCTGGACTCTGCAGGTTATGCAAGGCCTGCACAGCGGGACTGGCCTGATGACTGTATCCACCATTGGCCTCCACATGGTGCACTGAGCTGCCACTGGCCTCCACCCCACTACTAGAGACATTACCATACTCACATGTTCTTTTTGGAGAAGTCCCTGCTTTCATGTCATTTATGTTCAAATTTTCAGGGTAAGGTGCAATAGACACTGAGTTTTCCATGTCCTTTGGCTTCTTGATGTTGACGTTACATAACTTGTATTTCCTTGTGGATTCTTTTGCTTTAGTTCTCTTTCACTGGCAAAATACCAAAAGGGATTTGTTTTGACACTACACCTTTCTCTAACTGCTGATCTGGCTTGTGAGAGCAGAAGGGTGTGTCGAGGTTTCAGCAGTTACAAAGACTGAACTCTTGAACTTTACAAATTTTTCAACCCACTAATGTTTGCTCAGAAAAGATTGTTTTCCTTTTATTGCTTTTCTTTTCGAATTAGCAATGTTCAGATTATATGCTGTGATCACTAATAGATTTCACATGCAGAAACTGTACAAAAAAGAAGGAAATATAGTTGTCTGCAGTTGACAGTTCATATGGCAGCATTCTACATTACATGTAAAATGTAAATTGGGGTCCTTGAGTTTATCAAATAATCCATAATTGTGCAAAGGAAATGAACAGAACAATCAAAGTGGTCAGAAGGGTTCTGTATTACATACAGTTATCCTTCAGCTGGAGAAGTGCCATGATTATGAATGACATTTGATTATCTTTAAGGTGACACTGCTGGGACGGATATACTTCTCTTCAGAAGTTAAGCAGCTTTCAGTTATACTTGTCAGCCTGATCATCATCTGAGTTCAAGTTCTTTGCCGTGTACTTGTGAGTCCACATCGATAAAGTGAACATTTCCAATGTTCTGAAAGTCTTACATGATTTTCCGCTGGTCTTCCAAGAGTTTTAGCTGGCTCTGTAATATATAAAAACAAGTCTTAAAATGTTGAACTCGCAGTACAGATATAACATTTTAATGCTCCACTTTTTTTATTAGATTAGTAGATAAAAGCAATTTGTAGTCAACTACATGGAAAAAGTTAATATTGTGTTTTGGATAAATAAATGTGAGTTGAATCAGTAATCATTTTTTTAGGTTCCTTGGATATCTAACAAGATATGTTTCAGAAATGTATGTCTAACAAAAGTGTTACTTTCATGCAGTGTTTATTCTTTAATATGGAGAGTACGTAGTATGGGACCAAGCTATCTTCCCAGGTGTCTCAGGTCTCTCCCCAGGATCTCCAGCCATCTTCCCAAGTGCCTCAAGTTTCTATGCAGGAGCCCCAGGTCTCAGGCCTGAGACAGCAAGATATTTACCATGGAGGGTTCACTGGTTCAGTACATGTAGGAACATGCATAAGGGTAATGTGACTCTAGAGTATCATGTCCCTGTCCCTCCCAGATTTTACCATCAATAAAGCTTTACTCATCGACTAAAGAGTATTCTTTCCAAGCTTCCCCACAAATTTGACATATTGCATGGTCACATGAGGCAGAGCTGAGAGGAAGTATTTGTTTCACTCTGTGCTGGCCACCATGCTGATGATGAGGTCTAGGGCAGGGTGCTCTCAGGTCAGGAAAAACAACCACTAATCTGGGTTCCCTGAAGATCTGTGGGCAGTGCAATCCTTGGCTCTACAGGGACCCTCATAGGATGTAACTGTCAAAGCACTGAACTGCCAATTTAATATAAATTAAATAAAAATTAAAAATAAAAAGGGATTGAAAGGTAAATGAAGGCAGCTTGTGGTAGTTCCTCTTTTTTTTTTAGCATGTCAAATTTTTATTGAGTATATTCAAAAAATATAACATTACACGACAAGCAGGGCTTGTTATGATACATAGACCATATCTCAGTACGCAGACTGAAATCCAGGCATGTCATTTGAATATATCCTTAAACTGTAACTGAATAACTAGAATTCCGCAAAATGTAAACAATCTGCTAGGATATTGCGCTTCAACTACGTGTATAACAGCTGGTAGCAGACCCTATAGCCATGAGGGTCGTTACTGTGGGGAGAAGACCAATTCGATCCCTGAGGGATATTCGTGGGTGTAACTGGAGGAACACTTGAGGTGGAAATTGGTGGTGCGAACCCCGGATGAGCATAGTTGAGCAAGGGTCAAAGGACATCCAGGGGGCCCTAGGGAACCTGTTAGTTTAGCCTCGAGATACCATTTGGACATCTTAAAAATGGACATCAGATCTTGCAGCTGTTGCAATGAAAACTCTGCTGCAACATACGATGTCCAGGTAGCAAAAAACGTTTTAGTACGTGTTTGATTAAATTTTGTATCCAGCTTGTCCAAAAACAACAAGCGATGCAACAGGGGGCGGAATGTACCCATGGAGGGGGGATCAGATGAAATCCAATTACTCAGGATCGCCTTTTTGGCTGTCAGCAGACAGAGATGTTCCCAGCGGGTAGGGCAGGAGGGGTTCCCGTTCGCGGGTAGGGGGGGGCATGTAGTAGGCAAAAGTTTGGAGATAACTGCCTGTTCATATGTGAGTGCACATTCGTGAAGGACACTATAGCGTACCAAAAGGTTTGTATACGGGGGCAGGACCAGAGTAGGTGCAGGAGGTCAGGTAGGGGGAGGAGACATTTTGGACAAGAAGTTAACCACAAGGAAGACGTGCCCCTAGTGGGGATATTAAAGGCATGATATGCTCTATGTACTGTTTTAAAATATATTTCCCTCCAGGACTCATTGATAATAGCTTTCCGTATTTGTTGCCAGCCCTGTTCCACCATGTTGATGGTGTCTTCAGTGGACATGTCCAGAAAGTCCGCCCAGCGGCCAATGTGGGACGGTACTGAAGTGGATGATTCTTGTATGTAAGTCACTATGTTCCGGGCAATGAAAGATAGTGGCATCTTCATCTGGGGGGAAGAGAACAATGATGAGAGGGGCGAATCGACCATTTCAAGCCAGGGCAGTGTAAGGTGACTGGAGATAAAGTGACTCAATTGCATATATGGCTAACTCTGGGTGGCCGGCAGATGGTATTGGGTTTGGAGATCTCGGAAAGTCTTAAGACGTCCTTGGCGGTCGAAGACATCCGCCATAACCACTATACCTCCGGCTGCCCATATCCGGAAGGCATTGGATTCAGCGCCTACCGCAAACCCTGGGGAGGTTCTGAGGGGCATCAATGGGGAGATGACACAGGGCAGACGGAGTATTTTCCGGAGTTCCCTCCAAGCTATCAATTCAGCGTCCTCCATTACTGCCGATACGGGCAGCGCGACCGTCGGGTCAGGTGGTAGTGACAGCGTACGGCGGGCCGGCTGAGATCGCGCGACGAATTTGTCCATAGCTAGCGGGACTTGGAGGCGGCTATCCGGGACTCGGTGCGGCTCAATATAGGCTCGTTTTAGACTGTGGGGATGTGGCGGGGACGGAGCTACGGAAAACACCGCTAGTCCATCCGGCGCCGGAACCGGAAGTCGTTGGTAGTTCCTCTTTTAGGGCAGATGTTAGATATAGTCATGGAAGTGACAATTTACTTTAAAATGAATATGTTACATAAAGTATAATAGTAAGGTGGGCTGACATAAATTCACTTGCTTAACTTAAATTCCTGCTGCCAATGCAATGTGAATGTCAGCAGCAATCATTGTTTCAATTTAAATCCCTGACTATTGCAGAAAACTACATAGAATTATCAACCATGCCCCAGTTCTACTGCAGGTGATTCGTCAGAATAGCTCCAAATAGTATGAATTAATTATGATATTATATCATTAATTTGCCCACTAATAGACTTAGCACAGAACTGAGGTACCACTAAAGCCATATTCCAAATGCATATGCTATTAAGGGTTTTATGTAATGTGTTTTGAAGACAGACAATCAGGAGTGGCAGGATAGAAGTAAAATAACATCCATCGAAATAAAGTAACAATGACATATGTGCAGCCAGGAACATCTACATGCAAATTATCCTGGAAATCATACTTAGATGTCTTAGATTCTAGAGTAGATTTCATCACATTGACGGGGACTGCCTCCAGGGAAGCCTGATGTCTTTATAACTATCTATATATGTCCTATAATAAGGAACTTAATATGAGTTAGAGACCACACTTTGTAGAGGTTTAGATAATGTATTCCTGCAATGCAGGAATTCCACATGCAGAAAAGCATATGAAATGCAATGATTTTAATTTTTACATTTGAAAACTCTCATGCATGTAATTAAGGCATATTTTATGGATACATAGACTAAGGATATGCAACTAGTGGCCATTTTAGATCACACCAACATTTTGGCCAAACTGCTTCTATTTCTTGTGTGAAGTCAACAGTTTGATTTATGATCATTTATCTGCTACAGATTACACCGAACTAAAAACAATCACATGCTCTACAATACATTTCTGCAACATTGTCCTGTCACCCAGTTTGATAGCATTTTATTGATCTTCCTGTTGTGCCGCTCCCTAACAGTATTGGTTTCATGCTGTATTTGAGGCAGCTCAAATATGTTATATTAACATTATGTGATCCTGAAGATTTCAGAGGACTGGGTGGTGATTCATCTGCTCATTGGTTATCGCAGACTTCAGTTGACACCCCAGCAACGACTGTCGCTGGGACGTCAAAAGACCTAGGATAATGCTATGTTTCCTGAAAAGGAAGTATATTCACACATCATATTTTCCCTGCCTAGTTAGCTTGACTCCAATGTGCTTTTATTACTGGGACATGGCGTCTTTCTTATTCAATAATGACATACCCGTATGTAGGGTTGCACAGATACCAAGTACAGTACTCGGTACAAGTACGAGTACATGTACCGATACTTTTGAGCTCCAAGACTGGACTAGAGAAGAATTAAAAAATTAGGAGGCAGCTGTCATTTGTAAGGAGCACACGGAGCTCCTGGGATTTGTGCATCTCTGTTTTAATGTACAATTTTGTTTTTATAAATATAAATAAAGGGATGTACAGATACCAGTTTTGCGAGTACTGGTACTTACCGAGTACTTACAAGTACGAGTACTGATACATTTTTGTTTATTGTCATTTGACAGTTTTTCTAAAACAATACAGACTAATGATTTCAGGACAGTGGTGGAGCGCCAGAGCCAGGTCCCAGCTACAACCACTGCAACCATGGTAGATCTCATGAAAATACCAAGTATCTGCACTGGTACTCGAAAAGTATCGGTGCATCCCTACCCGTATGCTATAAAATGACATTTGTCTCATGTATTTCTCAAGAAAAGAGGTCAGATTACTTGAAACGTTAATAGATCAGTCTACCTTCATGTTATAATACAGACACAGAGATAATGAGAATGTTAATAAGATGTAAAAAGAAAAGAAAATGATCTGTTTCATCCAGCAATTGGGAATCAATAAATGTGTCTAAACTGTAGGTTGGGGAATTAATGAAACAAAGTAGGTACTTTAAAGTGTATCTATACCAAA